ATGGCATGTTGAAAGCTATTTTGCTGGCTGCTATCATTAATAGCAAAGTGGAGAGCTGGGCTGATGGGAATTAAATATGGGGGAGGGGGTGGGTCAGAACCCCGTCATTACGGAATTACCCACAGGAGAGAGGAGACCCAGCCACTCTGGGGGGATAAGGGCCAAGCAGGGCCCCTCCCTGGGATGGGGGTTAGGGAGGTGGGCAGCGGAGATCCCAGCTGGGCCCCCGCCCCTGGCCGGGCATGGGGCCAGCCCTGGAGAGCCTCTGGGGACAGAGCGACAGAGTGGAGAGGCTGAGAGCCTGGAGATCACTTCCCTGCAAACTGTCACCACGTGTCCGCCCGGGGAACTCCGCACACCTACCCCTCCCTGGGGGAGGAGGAGGGGCAGCGGGCAGCACAGGCCCTCCTGTCCCCAGCACTCGGGTGACACTGGGCCACATCAGCACTTACCTCACCCAGGGCCATGACTTATTTACATGCTTCCTCCCCCGGGGGCCTGAGGAGGTGTCTGGTTGTCAGTGTCACCTGCCCACACCGGGCTTGTCCCAGGCCCCTAATGACCACGGTGGGAATGAATCCAGTCCCCTCCCAGTTGTCAGAGCAGATGAAGAAATGAGGGTTTTGAGCTCCAAGGGAGAAAGCCAGCACGGGGGGCAGGGGTGACAATAAACCAATGAACACCCTCACAGGGCACCAAAGGGCCCCAATCTGAGCCCACCCCCCATAGCAACATGGGGGAAGAGAAGGAAAGGCTGGATCGGGGTGGGAGCGCGAGGAGCGCCGCCCCCCCCCCCCCCCCACCGAGCTGCTGCGGGCAAAGCCTTTGCCCTGCTTGTACTAGGTAAGGAGGGAGCCTGGGAGGAAGGGGGCACCCGGCACCCCTGCAAACAGGCTCCAGGCAGCCTCAGTCAGGACAGGGACCTGTCTGTCCCACCTTTCCAGGGTCAGATGTGTGAGAAGGTCCCAACCCCCCCCTCCCCCCCGCTTTACAGCTAATGAACCTGGGAGCCAGTTAGGCCCCCGCCTCCAAGGTGACCAGAGGGGTCCCAAGAGGGGCCAGCAGACCCCAAACCTGGGCAAGGCAGTAACCATCATACCCTGTCAGCCCCCAGGACAGCAAGAGAGGGCAGGAGACAGTCCCAGGAAGAGACTCGGGGAATGTCTTCTGGGCTGGTCTGGAGGACACAGCCAGGGGCACAGCAGGCCTCCCACTGTCCAGGCCAGGGGGAGCCCAAGCCCCTCGGCACCAAGGGGAGGAAGAGGAGGTGAGGGGTGTAATCCTCAGGGCTCCAGCCCCCTGTTGTCACCCACAGCCTCCAGGGTCCTCAGATCAAAAGTTCCCAGGTCTCTGCACTTCACCTGGGGGGGTGGGGGTCCACACTGTTTACTGCTTCTTCTCAGGCCAATTCCTTTGTTGTGCAAATAGCTGGCAATTGGTTTCTGGACTGTGGGCTTGGCCAGTATCATTATACAACCTGCATGGGGCACTTTGGACTCTGGCTTAGCCAGGTTCCCAGCTTCTTCAGATTCTTTTGGTTTTTTGTTTGGTTTGGTTTTGGGCCACACCCAGCGACGCACAGGGGTTCCTCCAGGCTCTGCACTCAGGAATCACTCCTGGTGGTGCCATGGGGGACGAAACGGGATGCCAGGGATCAAACCCAGGTCGGCTGCGTACAAGGCAAGCCCTTGTACCATGGTGCTGGCTCCTTCAGATTCCAAGGCGGAGAGCAGCGGTGTGCTTTTGCGGTCCGAAAGGCTGTGCCCGAGGCCAGGTCTGCACTCTGGCTTCCCAGGACAGGGGCCTGGGGCTGTCACAGGCCTGATCCCCAGCACTTCCCCTGACCTCGGTACCCTGCTTCTCTGAGAGGTTGGACAGGAAGTCAAAGAGCTTCCCAGTTTCAGGAAGTCAAAAGAAATGAGGGGGGAAAAATGATCATCTGAGAAGGCTGTGAAGCGTTGGCAAGATGCTGCCACCCCTGATAACCAGAACACCTCAAGTCCTCCTCTCCAAACCAAGCAGGACCAGAGCCCTCCGCTCACTACTCACAACAGCAGAACCCCAGAGCCCAGGGCAGCCTAGAGGGGTCGCTCAGGGAACTCCAGCCTTGCCTGTGCCTGGCAACACGGGCACCCCCTGGCCCCCCACTTGCCCTTGTTGGCCCTGGCCCAGGAGCTGGGGCTTGGGAGGTGAGCAAGTGGGCTGGTGTCCTGGGCAGGCCCGTGACTGTGACCTCTGCTTTACATAATTAGGGAGGCGCAGGAGGAGAAGCTGTTTGGATGTGGCAGCTTAGAAGCAGAGAGGGAGACCAAGAACCCGGCAGGAAGGGGCCAGCCACAGAAAGCAAGGTCACACGGGGCCGGGGGCAGCTCTCAGCTGCCCTCTGTCCGCCCTCGGGCACGACTGGCTGGCACAGCAGAGCTTCCTAACTATAGGTATTTCCCAGGCACCCACAGAGCAGCGCTTTTTAAGGGGAAAAAAAAAGTCCAAGGAGGGCGGTAAGGAAGGCAGTGGGGGTGGGGGGGTGAGCGGGAGGAACTGGAGCCCCACATTCCCTAGGTGCTGGCTCTGTAGTCTGTTACGTAAAAGTACAGACAGTCCTGCCCCCCCCCCCCACCCGGCGCTTAAAGATGAAGAATCCAGCCTGCTTGTTCCAGGCAGATGTAATCACTCGAACAGTCAAGTCTGGAGGGCGGGACAGAGCATGAATAATTCAAGCACTCCAGTCACTTGATTGTGTGTGCAGATAAAACACCAGTCAACCGCTAAACAGGTCAGCTGATAAACTTGTTTGCTCAGGCCTAACCACCATCCGCCAAATGCACCCAAGACCCACACTGCAATTAGTGGCAGGGCTTTCTTCGCAGGCCCAGGGAGTGGCCTGCCCCATTAGGTCAGGCCGGCTTCACAGCTGGCTAAGTTTCTTCACCTCCTAGCCTCCTCCTTTGTTCCTACACAGCCCCAGGGCCACTTCACTAGCCCAGAGAGGCCAGGAACAGAGGCCTGGCCTGAACTCTGGGCATAACCTCCTGCCCCTCTTCCCCTCAGTGGCCACATCCATGAAAGGGGTGCAAAGCCTCCTTGCAACTGGCAGACCTCAGGCATTCTCCAACTGCTCCCGCCTGTGGGAGTCCCAAATGCGTCTGTGAAGCGGACAAGTCTGCTTCATCCCACCACCACAACGCGAGGGTCACATGTCCCCGTGACCCCACCAACAGCCTGGCTCTGCCAGCCCCGGTGGCTTCTGCATGCCAAGGAACCATCCACTCCCAGGCCCGGGGAACACCACCCAGGCAGCCCTCGGCATGCAACGACACAGAGCACCTTAATTACGAAGCTCTTAGAATAACTGCTGCTATAAATTTTAAACCTGGGTGCAATTACCCTCTTTAAACACACCCAAGATACCAAAATGAGAAAAGGGGGAGGAAGGGGGAAAAAAAAAGTCACCTTGCAGAACACCTCCGCGGTCCGTCTGCCTGCCCACCTGGGAGCCCATGTTTACACACGTTCCCGAGACCCAGGTCTGAAGTTGGGCAGAAACTGTCTCAGAAACACAGCTTCCCACAGGGCATGGGGCGGGCGGGGGGTATGCTCCTGGCACTTCTGGGGGGGGGGGGGCACAAGAAGGGGAAGCTAGGAGGCTTCATGCATCCTCCTTAGGGGATAATCCTTCAGGAAGTCACAAACTGGTTCCACATTGCTCAATAACCACAAGCCCCCCTTGCTGGCTGCCTTATGCCCAACCAGGCCCCCTCCACAGAGAGAAAGAAAAAGTCTTTAGGAAGCCACCAGAGTGAGAGAAATTCCAGGGCTGGCATTCCAGGGCTCACCTGCCCTTCTCACCTACCCTGGGTCCTGCCCCCCCCCACCCCTAACGAGCAGAATTTAAACCTTGTAAACGACTGTTAATTTAGAGCAGAAAATCCATTCAAGTCACGGTCACCAGAGGCTAGAATGAGTCAACAGCCTTCTGAGATTTCAAGAACACCAATTGTTAAAAAGAACAACCGGCCTGCACCATTCATACGTGCCAAGTCAGCCCTAATCGCTGGCCAAGCCAAATTACAGGCGGCCTCTCCTTGGAACACAAATACACAAACAGGCCTCTCCCACAGCCGGGCCTAGCACCCCGGCTGGTTACTGATATGCACCGAGATAAAGGGTGTTTGTATTTGCTGGGTTTGAGGTATACTGTTATTAGAGGGGTAGTTTACATATCCATCAAAGGCCACCACACTAGCTAAACTGGTTTGACTTCAAGATTTCAAAGCTGAGCTCAACTCCCAATCATCTCAAAAGTCCTGGCCAGGCTGGTAAGTTACTTCACCTCAGCTCAGCTTCCGTCTCCGGAAAATGGGAACGCGGCTTGCCTTCAAATTAAGATTGAGTTCAGAAAGCTGCCTTGTAAAAAAAAAAAAAGGCTAGGCACTGAAGTTGCAGTTCATTCTGGCTTTATATTTTTAAGCAGTTAATGGCTTGTTCCCTTACATTCTGACAGCTCAGTGTGGCTTTTAAGACTCGAAGTTTAATCTTATCAAGGCAGAACATCATATTTTTGTGTGGCAGGAACGCCTCTCTCTCTCTCTAACACACGCACACGCACACAAGCGCTCTCTCTCTCTCATTCACATGCCCTCTCCTCCCCCCTCTCCCCTTGAGTTTCCTCTAGAGAATTTTACATCTAAGCAGATCAAAGCAGGCCGCCCCTCTAGGTTTCAGGAGTCTGAGGGTACATGATTCCCTTTGCGCCTTCCTATCTGCCACCAAGATCCAAGTTCAGGACTTATTTCACCAGCTGCAATGCTAAAGGCTCAACAGGCCCTCGAAACACACCCAGCGTCAGACAGAGCCTGCATCACCAGGCTGACCCTTCCACTCTGCAAGCTGGCTCCTTCCACACTGGAGCCATGACAAATCTGTGTCCGTCCGGTTTCTTAAGATTAAATCACTTTTTCTTTTCTCTTTAAAAAAAAAAAAAAGAAAAGAAAAGCACTTACCTGCTTGTGCATCTCAATGTTCAAGCCGTAGGACATTTCATAGTACTAGATAAAAATTAGAAGGAACCACCATTAACGGAAGATTATTTTTCGCTTTTCGAAATCAGCTAATGATATTCAGGGAGGTCTGGACCATGCCATCCCCACTTGGCCAAATCAGTTTCCTCCGGGGAACCCCAGAGGCAGTGACAGGCGGAGGGGGGGCTGGGGGAGGGGCGGTGCCTGCCCTCTCCCTCCCTCACCAGAACCTTCCCAGCGCAGTGGGAAGCTGAATGCGGCCCCCTCCCACCTGCTCCGCAGGCCCTCCCTGCCTGCTGTTTGTACAAGGTTCGGTTCAGCCAGGAAAGCCTGTGTACGCGGGACCCTCTCGTCCTCTGAGAGTTATTTAGCAACGCGTGGAGGCCTCTTATGCGGAGAGCGGCGCAGGGAGGCGGCCTGAGTGCTTCCAATGGGCTCTCCCAAGTGGAGGACGTGAGGCTGCAGCCGCCAGCAGCCGGCCCAGCTACCGCCGCCGGGGACCGGACCGGCGAGGCACACAGCGGACGCCGGGAGGGACCAAGAGGGTCCCGGGGAGGGCGCGGCCGGCGGCCCAGGATGGGCTGACTTGGCCCCGCTCGGGCCAGCTCCGGGACGCCAGCAGCCAAGTTTCCAAACACCGCCGGGGGTCTCTCGGGGAGGCTCTTTCCCCAGGCCGGCCCGGACAGCCCAGGGGCAGGCGGCAGCCCTCGGGGAGGCCGGGCCCGGCGTCGTCGGGGGCCGCAGAGGGAGCGCGCGCGTGCGGCGGCCGCCGGGTCCCCGGGGCGGGGTGGGGCGGGGAGGGGGCGGGGGGGAGGGGAGGGGAGGGGGCGCCTGGGGATGCCCGCCCGCCGCTCACCATCACGTAATGGCGCTGCATCTCCGTCTTCTCGTTGGCCAGCTTGTCGTACTCCACTTTGAGGCTGGGGGAGGGGGGCAAGACGGCGGCGGCTCAGCCCCGCGGCGGCGCCCCCGGGGACCCCCCCCCACCCTACCCCCCACCCCCGCTGCCCGCAGCCTCCCGGCGGGGGCGGGGACGGGACGGGAGCCTCGGGGCAGCCAGACTCGAAACTTAAGGCAGCCCACCCGCGCCTCCCGGGTCACCCGGTGGGCAGCTCGCGCGCCCTCCTCCCCCTCCCCCCCCACTCACCCCGGACCCGCCCCTCCCCGCCTCCCCCGGGGCACCCCGGGCCGCGGGGGCTGCGGGCAGCCAAGGGTTAAGGCGCCAGCTCTGGGAAAGGGGAAACAAAAGGCGGAGGCCCCGTGCCCGCCCGCCGCCCCGGGTCCGGCGCCCCCCCCCACCTCCCCACCCCGCCGCGCGCGCCCCCTCCCCGCCTCACCTGTGATACTGCGCCTGCAGGAACTGGAACTCGTCTTTGATCCGGTCACAGGACTCGGCCACCGTGAATTTAAAGCCCGGCTGCCCGGGTTGATGGGGAGCCTGGAGCGCGCGAGGGGCGAGACCGGGGAGGGGGCGAGGAGCGGGGGGTCAGCGGCGGCGCGGCCGCCCGGCGCCCCCCGCCAACCGCCCGCCCCGGCCCGGAGCCTTCCCAGCAAGTTTCTGCGCTCCCGGGCGGGGAGAGGGGGCGCCCCGCGCCCCCGGGCGGGCCGGGGTGGGGGCGAGGGCTCCGTCCCCGGGGAGCACGGGCGCGGGGGGGGACCCGCGGGGCCGGAGTGACCCCTCTCCCCGGCGCCCCCAGGCCATCCCCTTTGTGTGGGCGCGCGCACACTCGCGCGCACAGACACACGCGCACACGCGCGCGCACAGACACACGCGCACACGCGCGCGCACACGCGCACCCCGGGGAGGTGGCGGCCCGCAAAATGGAGGTGCGACAGCCGTCCGCGCCGCCGGGCCACCGTGCCCAGGCCGGCCGGCGCGATTACTCACCGGATGTCGGCCCTGCGGATACATGGCAGGGAGGGGTCGTGATTCCGCGAGCGTGCACGCGCCGAGGGCCCGGGCCGGGGAGCCGCGGGGCAGCGGGGAGCCGAGCCCGAGCGGGGGGCGGCCGGCGAACCGGGCGCCGGCCCCCGGCGCCCCCAGCGCGCCCTCGCAGCGCAAGCCCAGAGCGGGCGCTCGCCCCCCGCGCAGACAAAGGGCCGGGCGGGCTTTGTGCCTAGGGCCGGCCGCCCTCCCCCGGCTGCGCGGCGCGCGTCAGGGCCGGGGGCTGCGCGCTCATCGTCGGGCTCCCCGGCGGCGCGGGCGCGGGGTCCCGAGGCCGGGGGGCTCAGCGCGTGGCGCCGGGCGGAGGGCCGCGCCGGGGCGCCCCCCGCATCCGGGGGCGCGCGGGTCGGCGGCTCCCCGGCGGAGGCGGGCGGGCCCCGCGGTGGCGCTGGGCGCGGGAGCCCGGCCGGGCGCTCCGACGCCCCCCCGGAGAGCGGAGCCCGGTTCCGTGGGCTCCGGCCGCCGCCGCCGCCGCGGGTCCGCGCGGGCCGGCAGCGAAGTCCAGCTCAGTGGGCGCCGCTCGAGCGTCCAGGCATCGTTAGCTCCACGGGGCGCGGGGGGCTCCGGCGCAGGGTCCTCGCGGCGCGCGGTCCGAGCGCGGTCCGGAGCGCAGGCGGAGACGCAGCCCGAGCAGCGGGAGCCCCGCGGCTTCCTTCCTCCCTTCGTTCCTTCCTTCCTTCCTTCCTTCCTTCCCCTGGGCCCGGCTCTCCTCGGCGTCCCGACAAACCCCCGAAACACGCGCGCGCGCGCACACACGCGCGCACACACACACACACCCAAAAAAAAAAAAAAGAAAGAAAAAAAAAAGTGCCCCGGACCTGCGGATACCACACACAGACCGGCGAGGGGACGAGCACGAGGTCTGAACCGCCGCGAGAGCAGTTCCAAATAGGGACTGAAAAGTATCAAAATAATGTGGCAGCTCCGCCCGGCGCCGGCCAATGGCAGCGCGCGGCCCCACGTGGGGTCGGCGACTCGGCCCGCCACTGGGCGCCGCCGGGCGCGACGTCACAATGCCCTCTTGTGTCTAAAACTATGCACGAAAAGTAGCAATCAGGCCCTACCCGCTGGTGACTTTCGCAGGGGAGTGAAAAACAGCGCTCCTCGGATCAGGAATTAACCGAAAGACGTATAATAAATAGATATATATTATAGTCCTGGGCTGCGCGAGGTCCCCCCCTCCCTTTTTTCCCACGATCTGCTAGCAAGTAACTATTGGGCGGGAGGAGGAAAAGGGAGAAGACAGAATAACAACAAAAGGGGGGTGGGGTGGGGGGACAAGCTGTACAGTCCTCAAAACCTGTGGCTGGCTGTAACGTATCAATTTTTTTTTTTCTTCCTGCAGTGGCGGCGAACGGTTCCGTCCCCTAATCTCATCAGGTCTGCAAAGCAGCCCAATTAGATGCGATACAACAAACAGAACCACGGTGTCACTTTAATGCTTTCAGTTCCCCAGATTTAGGCTGGGAAATGGTGGCTCCCCGGACCCCACCGGGGTCTTCAGGCGTCCTGCCGGGCCCGGCCCGGGTGCCCGCGCCCGCGGCCCCCGGCAGCCCCGCTTTTTGTCCAGCGTCCCTCTCTCCCCCGGAGCCCAAGAAACCGCGTCCTTTGATGTGCGGCATGTGCGGCGGCCGGAGTCGGAGGCGCTAACTCGGGGGCTGCCCGTGGGAGGGGGTGGCGGCGGGGCCCGGCCCGGTTTGGCTCCCGAGGGGCTCCCCGCGGCCCCCGGGGACCCGCTCCGGCCGCGCGCGCGGGGTTACGTCGGGGCCGACGGGGAGGGTGGCCCGGCGCGGGGCGGGGCGGGGCGCCGCGACCCCTCATCAGGGCCCCGGCCGGCCGGGCCGCCCTTCTGCATTGCCCGACCCGGGACGCGAATGGCGAATGGAGGAGCCCGCGCCGACAGATGCGAGCATCTGGCCGCAGCATCCACGGGCACAAAATGGCTCCTCTCCCGAGCCGCGCGCCCCGCCCCCGCCGCCGCCGCCGCCGCCGCCGCCGCGCCCCCTGACGTCACGGCCCGGCGCGCCCGCCCCGCCCGCCCGGCTCCGGCCCCACGTGGGGCGCGCGCGGCGGCCACGCCCCCGGGCCGGGCCCGGCGCGGCCAATCGGCGCTCGCCGAGGCGGCCCCGCGCGCCCGATTGGCGGAAGAGCCGAGCGTTGTCAGTCGGCGGCCGGAGCTGTCAGTCAAAACCACGCGGGCCGGGGGAGCGCTGACAAATGCCGAGGCTTCTGAGCCTCCCGCTTGCAAATAGTGCTTGGAATGGCTGCTTAATTAGCTTTGAATGGCTTTTCCTTCCAGCTCAAACAATCTGTCACTACCATGTGGTATAAAGGAGCCATGCATAAAAAAGTAAGCAGAGGCTAAATATCAATTTGATTTTGTGTATCAAAGGAATATTTTATTTTTCTCCCTAGTAATGAAACGTATCAATTTAAATAATAAAAGGTAAAAACACACACACACACACACAAACCAAAAAAAAATATATATATATATAAAAAAAAACTAGAAAGGGAAAAAGAAAGGAAAAAAAGAGAAGAAAAAAATATATAAAGGACCTCAAACTCCGCGGCTCTGCTCTTCCTGTGCACGAAGGCCCACGTTCGCGAGGAAGCCTCAAGGATCCCCAGCCCTCGCCACTCCCTTTAAACCCGCATTAAGTGTTCTGTTGTTGACGTCCAGAAGTCTAGGAGGGAGAGGGGAGGGGTGGTCTGTGAAAGGGGAAGGGGACCGGGGCGGGGGGGGGCAACTTTAAAGGGATCCCTTTGAAGCTACTAATCAAAGTAGGGGGAAGTTTAAGACCCCATAAACTGGGGATCCCACAGCAGGTCTCGATTTGGGCGCTGCGCGGCGCGGGGGGAGCGGGTGCGCGTCTCGCCTGCGTTTATTAAACACGATGCCTTCAAGATGCCCGGGACGCGGCGCCGGGTCTGGCCGCCTCCCGGGTCCGCTGGGCCCACGCTGCCGCCGCCCGCCCCGGGTGGAACCCGAGCGGCCCCGGGGCGCCACGGCGATTGCGCCCGGGAGCCCGTCGCGGGGCGGGGGGAAGGGGCCGGCCGGGTGGAGCGGCCGGGCTGGCCACCCCCACGCCAGAGGAAAGTGGATGGCAGTGACCAGCGAGTTGGCCCTAGGGGAGCAGAGCCGCCAGGGCTGGCCAACCCAGCTCAACGCTGCGTTGCTTGCCACTAGGTTTTGTTTCAGAGTAGGCATTCATTCATTCACAGTCATTCCTTCCTTCCTTCCTTCCTTCCTTCCCGGCTCTTTCTGAGGCTCTGGCTGCAGGGCAGCCTGGCCCCGGGAACCCTGTCCTTTGCACGGAGTGAGCACTCTTTCCAGTTTTCCTGGGAAACCTGGACCCAGCTAGAGGGGCGGGGAGGTGAGTGGCCTGGCCAGCACCCTGCTAAACTCACTCCCCTCCACTCCCTTTCTCCTGGCCACCCCGCCAATTAGAAAAAGCAAGGAGGGGGGAAAAAAGAAAGAAAGAAATTTCTTTTATGCTCCAGAAAGAGAAAATAAAATTAAAAAACATGTATACAACACCCAGTCCAAAGCGCTTGACAATTATTTTTACAGAAGGAGGGGAGTGGAGAGAAAGAGTTCAAACGTCGCTGTCTCCAGTTCTAATTGGAAACGTTTCAACTGTTTATGTTACAAAAAGTGTCAGGGTCATTAGCTACCGGAGAGCTGACTTTTCATTGGATGCTTAATTGAGTACCTCGGAGTCCACCCCACGTGGGAGAGGAATTCCTGGCACATTAAAAAAAAAAAAAAGTCACTCGGGTGAGACAGAAAGCCCGGCCCGGATTTACAGGGTGGAGGCTCCCCCAGCCCCTCATTTGGGGGTACTTTGTGGTTCGTTTGCTAACGGCAAGAGTTCTCCCTCTGTTGTTTAAGATTGCCCAAGACTGTAGAATGCCGGTAGATGTCTTAGAGTGTTGGTGCATGTTTTAGAGTGTCTGAGTATGTTTCAGAGTGCCACTGAATGTTTTCTCCCTTTCTTAGGAATTGAGAGATCTGGCTCTCAGAGGATGGTGCTGCCTGTGACCCCCTGTTTGAGGAACTGACCCAGGCCTGTCCCCAACATCCTCTGCCGTTTGGAGTTTTCTGCCCTCTGGGACTCAACTTGCCTTGGGTTAATTCTGGAAGGCCTTTGCCTCTAGACAGGGGACAAGGCTGTCCCATCAATCCCCACCTTCCCAGTCACCCAGGCCTTCTTCCAGCAAGCCAGTACCCCCGCGTGGAGCAAGAGGAAAAAGAACTGTTATTTATTGAACAAACTGACTTGTGCTTCCTCTGTGCCAGAGTTCTAAATGTTGGGTAAATATTAACACACGGCGCCCTTCCAATGAGAGGAGTGGGTGCTATCGGGATCACCCCTGTTTTACAGAGGGTGTGCTTGGCACACAGTGGCACAGTGATTTGCCCAAGGTCGCTGCACTGGCTGATGAACTTGAACCTCCGGAAACATCGACTCCAGAGTCTTGGCCAGCCACACCCCTAACTACGCCTTCCGCTGTCCTGGGAATGCCCACCAGACAACCTTGCCTGGAAAAAAAAGAAAAATCACAGGGAACAGCCAGCGTTGGGAGTCCCAGACGGAGTTCCAGTGCCCCAGAGGGCCTCCGAAGGTCACCTCATTTCAGGGAAAAGGACTGAGTCCTGAGAGGCCGGGGGCTTCCCACAGCCTCCCTACGCTTCTCCCCACTCTGCAGCTCATTTCATCTTCCCGAGCCCCCTTCCCTCCAGCCACCCAGCCCTCCTTAGGGATTGCTCTGAGGATCGATGGGGATAATGCGCGCCATGTCCTCGTACTGAGCCTGACACATTAAGTGATCAATAACAGTTAGCTATGGCGGCCCTGATGATGATGTAGTGCCCAGGGCTGATTCAACACCTCCAATATTACCTGGGAGCCGGCACAGAAGTGGAAGGTCCCCGCGCCCCACGCCTTGGGGAGGAATCCAGCAAGGCGTCCCAGTGTGCTCTCGCCGCCCAGCCCTGGTGGGTGGCGAGACCCTCTCCCCTGAGCAGCCAGCACCCTCCAGGGCTCACGGGAACTTCCCCTTCCACCTGGGAATTT